CTACGAGAGACTACTGAGCCCACTCTTAGACACCATTTTCACGCGGTCCAGACCCGTCGCAACGGCACATACCCCCGAGCAGGAGGCGGAATTGGCGAGGCTGCTGTACCCCAGTCCCGCACATCCGCAGGAGTTCCGGTTCGTGGAGATAGGCGGTTCCGGTGTCTCGGAGGATCTGTTCTCGTTTGATGCTGGCATCTTCGACTGGGATGACGATCAGCTTGCGAACGACGCGACTTCATTCCCATCCTTTGTGTTTTAAAATGCTCCATATACCTCGGATAGAGCTAATAGTACTCCATATCCCGGCCCAAATTGCCGACACACAAGTGGGACATGTACGAGAGCGTACAGGATCTTTCGCACAAGTCGTGTTCGATCTACGAGCTCAGCCTTGATTATACGATACACGAGAGGAGTGGATCCAGGCAAGTCCCACGTGTCGGAGATTGGCGCTCAGCAATCGCATCTTTATACACAAGAAGAGTGTAAGCTGGATGGACTTTCCAAAGCAATAACCCACTATTGCTGAGGTATGTATACCGGGGTCAACCGCCATGATCTGGGTTTTAATCTGTTGGGTCTAGCCATCGCTTACTTTTCTTGGTTCCAAGAGGGAGGAGATACTTCAAAGACTAGCCAAAAACGACCAGTTCATTGTACCGGTATCGTCGAATAGGCTTGGAGGGCACCTAGCCAGGTAGATACGGCTGAAAATGGAACGTATCGACACCCATAGTCATGCCATTCCAGCTCGGTGGCGGCAGCATTGTATGGATCTGGGCTATGGCGACACTGATGGTATTTCGATGGTACAGGTAAGAAAGCAAGCAAGCTATTGAAGCAGAATTTATGTGTCTCCGACTGCCTCCTGTGCAGACCCAATGCTTTGTGTAAACGAGGATCACTGGGTAGACTGACGAGGGATCAAATTCCAGGACTGGACTGTCGAGGCACACCTGGCGACTATGGACAAAGCCAAGATCACGAAGAGCATATTGAGCATCACCTCGCCTGGCACGCACTTGAAGGCTGGGGACAATGCCTTTGCTCGCAAGCTGACTCGCGAGACCAACGAGGACCTTGCCGAGATCTGTGCGGCGCACCCAGACCGATTTGCATTCTTTGCAAGCCTGCCTCTTCCCGATATCGAGGGCTCCCTGGCCGAAATCGACTATGCCTTGGACCACCTCGGGGCGGTGGGCTTTGCGGTCATGACGAATGCACACGCCGTTTACCTAGGCGACCCGGCTCTGGACAGGGTCTTTGAGAAGCTGAACTCGCGGCGCGCCGTGGTTTTTATGCATCCGACCTGCTGTCGAGTGAATCTTCCCGCTGCCAATGGCTTCGCCCCTCAAGCGGTGGCACCCCTGACCCAGTATCCGCGGCCCATGCTCGAATTCCTTTTCGACACTACCCGTGCAGTCAGCAACCTGATTCTCTCCGGCACTGTGGCGCGATACCAATCCATCACATTCGTCGTTCCTCATTGTGGGGCGGCATTACCACCTGTGATCGAGCGTTGTGTTGGATACACGCCGCGCACGGTCAACCCCAGCATGCCCATCACTAGCGACGACGTCAAGCACCTGTTCAAGACGCGCTTCTTCTTCGACCTCGCAGGTTACCCATTCCCGGACCAGATACACGGATTGCTGCGTTTCACGGAGCCCTCGCGACTCCTGTACGGGACAGACTATCCCTTTTACAGGGCCGAGGCCGTGTATCGCCTGGGCGGGATCTTGGATCAACGGGCACCGGAGATATTTGACGAGGAGACAAGGAAAGGGATCTTTGGCGCTAATGCGAGGGGGCTGTTGTGGCCCAAGTTAAAAAGCCATGCTTAGGGTGAAATGAAACTGTGTTGACCCTCCCCCACAGCCGGTGTTGTGACCTTGACCTGCCACAACTTGGGCAGCTTAACCTGCGACTTTGAATTGTCATTGGCGACCAACTCATGCCTCATACAGCGTTGCGTCTGAGGTACCAAATGCTACAAGCCAGTACTTGCCTGGTGCTGTACCCGGAACCCAATCTACCATAGACATCGAGTTCATATTCGACAAGTTTCTTCCTTCCCTGACCACTTTTCCTCTCCTCATGCTTTAGTCTTTCTATTCTGTCTATAGTCACGAAACCCTGTTACTATGCCACAAATTATACCTCGATCCACGGAGCCCTACTCGTATGATTGTGCAGGCTAGGCCGGGGTGCATATCCAATGCATTAAAATCCTCGCACACGGAGACTATCACTGTATGAGCACCACCATGATATCCTCTGTCTGGAGGCATACGCTGCTGAGCGAGGATTGGCCAGAATACTCGGCTCGGCTATTTCAATCTCGAGGAGTTTTTCGTCTCATTCGCCACCTTCTTCGCTCCGTATCCCCATTTCGAGTCAGAAATCTGCGATTGGCTGAGTAGGTCAACAACCCGGTAGTCAGTTTTCCGAGAAATTCGTTGTAGAGAGACACGATACGGTGGCGCAACACAGATATTCTGTCAGCCCACGCCAACGCCGTGAACCCGTCTCGTAGGTTCTGACCAGGACAAGGTAGGACGGGGGCCCCAAATGCGCGGAGCGGACGCCCTTGTGGCTTGCCGCTTCCGGGAGGGTTTTGTCCAGACAAATTGACTTAACAGTGGGTTAAACCTGAAGACATCTTCGTGGTAGAGGGCCTCTCGATGCTTCCACTTTGTCCTCCATCACGACTTTTCTCAGCACGTGTCGGCCTTTCCTTAGTATTCTAAAAGGTAACTCTTCCCCAAATCCTCAAGATGGGCTCAATTGCGGCGCCAAGTGACTGGCGGGCCTCGGACAATCTTGAGCTTGAAGCATTAGTCGTCGGAGGAGGTTTCAGCGGTCTGTATACCTTGTACAAACTCCTCGACGCCGGGATCGACGCGAAGCTCTTCGAGGCGAGCAATCAGCTGGGTGGGGTCTGGAACTATAACCGATACCCCGGCGCGAGAGTCGACTCGGAAACCCCTTACTACCAGTACAGCATCCGCGAGGTGTGGAAGACGTGGAACTGGAGCGAGCGGTTCCCCGGCCACGAGGAGCTGCGGAGGTACTTTGACCACGTGGCGACCGTGCTTGGACTGTACGACCACATTGCCTTTGGGCAGAATGTCGTCGGGTGCGATTTCGACAACGACGCCAAACAGTGGGTGGTCAAGACGGAGCAGGGAAAGACCGTCCGGTGCCGATACTTGATCGCGGCCGTCGGGTCGTCGTACAAGAAGCATTTTCCGGATTTCCCGGGCCTCAAGGACTACAAGGGCGTCCTTCTGCATGCGGCGGCGTTTCCTGAAGAGGAGTTTGACTTCTCCGGAAAGGACGTGGCAATCGTCGGACAAGGTTGGTTGCACTCGTTAGCGCTTTGGCTCAAGGGAAGATGCTAATGCTATGGAACGCCGCCAGGTGCTACGGGACTGCAAATCACACAAGAAGTCTCCAAGAAAGCTGCTAACCTGACCGTGTTCATTCGGACGCCAAACACGGCGTTTCCGATGTATCAGCGCAAGATGTCGGCCGAAGAACAGAACCAATATAAATCCGTCTACGACCATCTGTTCAAGGTGTGCCGCGAGTCCCGTTCTGGCCTTCCTTACTGGTCAGACGGGAAGGGCACGAAAGACCTCTCCCCGGAGGAGCGCGAGAAACGTTGGGAAGATCTGTGGGCCCGGGGTGGGTTCAACTTCTCGATCGGCGGGTTCCGCGACGTCCTGTTCGACCAGGAAGCGAACGACCTGATGTACGACTTTTGGAAGAAAAAGGTACGGGCGAGGATCAGCGACCCGAGGAAACGAGAGATTATGGCGCCGGAAATCCCGCACCACCCGATCGCGACGAAGCGGCCCAGTCTGGAACAGGACTACTACGAGTGCATCGACAGGCCGAATGTCGACCTCGTCAGCCTCAAGGAGACGCCGATCCAGAAGTTTGACAGCGAAGGGATCGTGACGACGGACGGCAAGCATCGTAAGCTGGACGTCGTGATACTGGCGACGGGCTACGATGCCATCACCGGCAGCTTCACGGACATGGGCTTGAGAGACGTGAATGGCCTCGACATGAAGGAGAGGTGGAAGGATGGTGTGCGTACGCACTTGGGCATGACGTGTCCGGGCTTCCCGAACATGTTTATGGTCTATAGCCCTCAAGGTATGTCTTCTACGCACTCACCTGTCCTGTGTGGCTCTGCTGCATAAATACTGACTCTCGATAGCGCCCACGGCTCTCGCAAACGGCACCACGATCGTCGAGGTCCAGGGCGACTGGGTGGTCTCGACAATCCTGAAGATGAAGAAGGAGGGCATTCTGACCATCGAGGCTAAGCCAGACGCTGCAGAGAAGTGGGCAGCCGACATCCAGGAGATGAACGAGAAGACGCTCTTCCCACTGACGAACTCGTGGTACATGGGGGCGAATATCCCCGGCAAGAAACGGGAGCAACTGAATTATCTGGCGGGTTTGAATGTTTACGAGCAGGCTTGTAAGGAGGCCCAGAAGCAGTGGACCGGGTTCGAGACCGTTCTTGCCATATAGCTGCGGCTAAGGGACAGATCAGTCCCGCCCTTTTTAAACTCAATACAGTGTGACGAGTGTGGTATGACTAGTATATATGACTACAAAATATGTAACTGGGCCGTTCATCTACTGATTTGAGATTGTGGGTATCGAACCACACCACCACGTACGGAGCAGTAAAACTAGCTACGGCTAACAAAAGAGAGCTCCGGTACCGTCAAACATCCATCAGTCCCGGTAGTAAACTACGCTAGCTCTTCGTAGTCAGACACATGACGATTGGCGACCCGAGCGCCGCCGTGGCTGACCTATTCACTGCCTAATAAGTGTACATCAGTATGGACATGATTTGCGCCTTGAACTTGACTCGGACAAGACTCCTTTCAACCCTACCACCCCAGTCACCCCCTTGTTAGAAGCGTTTGTCTGTTGTATCGATCGGTCACTAACCCCATTCTCCCAACATGTCAGGGCTTCTCCGAGGAACTGCCTTTGTTACCGGCGCCGGCTCTGGTATGTGGTCTGTCTTGATGTTCTGGCGTTGGTACGCCCGGTACTAAAAAAAAACGACTCACAAAAGGTATCGGACGCGCCACGGCCATCTGCCTGGCTCAGCACGGCGTGTCAAATCTCGCCTTGGGGGACGTGGACACGAAGAGGTTGGAGGAGACACAGGCGGAACTTGTCGCCCAAGGGTTGGCCGTGCAGGTCATATTGATCGAGCTTGATGTGAGCAGCGAGGATGCCGTGAGAGAGGCCATCGAGAAGACAGTGGCGGCGTTTGGACGCATCGACTATGCCGTCAACAACGCCGGCGTGGCTGGCCCGATGGGAAGGGCCGAAAACGTCGCGTTTGCAGAGTGGCGGCGTCTTCTCGACGTCAATCTGAACGGTGTCTGGCTCTGCCAACGAGCGGAAATTCAGCAGATGCTGAAGCAGGATCTTCGCGCGACAGGGTATGTCAGACATGTCGCTCTATCTGGCAAAGCGTGTGCTAATTGCAGTCGTGAAGACCATACTCCCCTGGATCAAGAGGGGTCATTGTCAACGTCGCTTCGATTCTGGGCTTGATGGGCGCGTCTGGCACAAGCCCCGTCACGGCGTATAGTGCGGCAAAGCACGCTGTCATGGGTCTGACGAAGACGGTTGGTCTCGATCATTATTGTCCCTATTTCCCTTCCCGGATTCAACATCATCGCGGGATTTTTCATGGCACTATCTTACTGACGGCGCCGTTCCATGCTTCTAGGATGCTCGCGTCTACGCGAGAGAAGGGATCCGAATCAACGCAATCTGCCCAGGGTAATTCAAACCCAAGACACCCTCACCCAGCCCTTTGCTATCTCGTGTGAGAAACGTGTGCACTGACCCAGGTCTCGTCCGTCTCGCTTGCAGATTCATCGAAACTCCCCTACTCACCCCGACCCTGAACGACGCCGTTCGCAAAGAGCTCCTCAGGAGAATCCCCGCAGACCGGCTGGGCGCGCCCGAGGAGATTGGCAACTCGATCGTCTACCTGATGTCGCACTTGAGCAGTTTCATGTACGGTCACGGCCTTGTCGTTGATGGGTGAGTTGTGGCTTTTTTTTTTCCCACCCCGACTTGATTTCTGGGACGGTTTTTTTATATATCTAATTTGCTCTGCTGCTGTTTAGTGGGCAGATATGTGGCTGAGCGATCGGGCATTTGAGGCTGGTTGGAAAGGAAAATTGCGAACAAGGTCTTCACTCACAAAACCACTGGTTACAACGACATAGATAGATAGAGATCCCACCTTGCACAGCGAGCCTCGTAGTCAAGCCCCGGCACGAATCGGTGTGTCTCAAGTCCTTATTGATGGCAGATTTCTACTTTGAATTCTAAAAGTGTCAAGGACCTATGTTTTCTATTGAGCACCTCCGAGAAGCCACTTGATCCCAGCGATCAGGTCTTCGGCGTTCTTCCTCGCCGCCGTGAGCTTGGGGAAATACCCAAAAGCATGTGGAAGACCCGGATACACATCGAGCTTGACCGGGACGCTTTGAAATCAGTTAGAAAACGACACTGGCGAAACGAATGCAGCAAGAGGAAACGGATCTTACCCAGCTGCCCGGAGCTTGTCTGCGTACGCCAGACCCTCGTCACGTAATGGGTCCATCCCTGCTACCTGCATGTAGGTAGGGGGATGGCCCTTGAACGTCGGATTCAGGAGAGGAGACGCCTCTGGGTTCGACGGGTCCGGTGGGTTCAGGTAGCCGTAGAACAGTTCCATCGAGCGCTTGGAGAGGAGCGGCGCATCTTTGAGCTCTTCGAGGCTGTGGAGGCCCAGTTCCGGCGGGTAGCAATCGATGTGGCAGACGGACGGGATGCGCATGATCGAGCCTTTGATAGGGAGCTGCCCATCCTTGACGCGGTGGGAAAGGACAGCAGTCTAAGAGTAAACTCTCATTAGCAACCGCATAGATGTATTAGAGGGGGGAAGCTTAGTAGTGAGCACGTACTGTGTGGGCCCCTGAACTGCTTCCTCCAATGATGATATTGTTCACGTCGATTCCCAGATTGCCGTGATTGTCTATCGTCTGTCTCTGTCAGTTTATTCATAAGGCTAGACACTTCACTGTTGTCGTACCCATTTCAATGCCTCCCAAGAATCCTCGGTGCCTCGTGGGAACGGGTACTCTGGAGCACTATATTGGGTCAGAGACGAGCAGGAATCCAAAAGGGGCCAGAGACAAAGTGGTGAGTTGTATACGCACAGCCTGTAGTCGACGCTGACAACCACTACTCCTGCCCTCACACACATTGCCCGACACGTCAAATCCTCGCCCTCGAGATCGCCCAGGGTCCAGCCTCCTCCGTGGATGCTTCCTTTGTCAGCCTCGTTGCCCACCACCAGACCCATTTCTGGGCGCGATGGGACACCTACTAGAAGACAGCCGGCTTTGGATTCTCCCCCGATGTTGGCTGATAAATCCTCAGGGCTATAGAGGCACCGTCGGATGTCGGTATCTGCTCGTCTCTGACCTTTAACCCTTCAGTGATGGGTGGGACCTGGGCTTGGGCTCGCTTCTTCAGCTCCACCATAATCTTTCGCATGTGCTCGGGCGTGCCAACAAGGACCGGGACATCGTCGAAGTGGTTCGCGTAAAACTAGAGATTTTCAGTGTCTCGATACGTTTGTTACATGTTGCAGGTTGGTTTGGAGTACTTCTTCCCATTCTTTCGTCGGCTTACCGAGTTCGGAGTATTTGGACGGCATTTTTCCCAAGTCGTCGTCGTCGTCGTCGTTGCTGAGAGGCGAATCCCTGAAGATCTAATCAAGCACACCTTTGACTCGCAGTACACTACGTATGTTGACGAGTTAATACTCGGTACAATTTGGCGAGACTCCAACACAGCAACCGGTTGGAGAAACATGGACCCCCTTCTCCCCCGCCTTTTCGTCCGAGATCATGGATCCAAGCCCGTTCCGGAGTGGGTGGGCAGCTCCTTCGAGACGCCAACGGACTCGGCAAAGGTTGCCGAGCCCCCAGCATTCTACGGAGTCGACCACGCACGGTACGTCCATGGCGACACCGAGTTCACGGAGACGGACCGCCTCCCAAACACTTCCTCTCAGATGGGGAACAAGCTCCCCTAGCGAGGAACAAGAATATCGGAGCTGGACGAGTCTGCTATGGTGTATGTGGCGTGACCATGTCGTTCGCGGCAAAGTTCCGATCGCGAATACTTCGATTCTCGTGGTGGGACGGATAGTATACGATATAGTGTGCATTTGCCCAGAACCACATCTTTGTACTATCAAACGGGAGATATTCCAGTCTTGGTTTTGAAAACATTGTTCGGCGACGACAAAGTAGGCCCTCCAGCGTCGCAAAAATGGGCTCAATAGATACAAATGACCACCGGCACCTGTCGGGCTTCTATGAAGAGACCGACACGGGCTACCGAGTCACAGAGGAGCGTCTGGGCCAGCCTCGACACCTCCGAGTCGTCATGGTCGGGGCTGGCGCCAGCGGGCTCAACATGGCGCGCCACATGGAGTTGCACATGCAGAATTACGAGCTCATGATTTACGAGAAGAACGCCGACGTGGGCGGGACGTGGTTTGAAAACAGGCAAGTCATGTAAGACACTACCCTGTGCTGGATAGTTGCTGATGTGTCTTTTGCAGATATCCTGGGTGTGCTTGTGATATCCCCTCGCACAACTACCAGTTCACATGGGAACCAAACCCGAACTGGTCACATTTGTAAGGGCCAGCAACATACTGGTTGCGAAGTCATTGCGGCAAGTGCTGATACTGGCTTGCTCTAGCTATTCCACCTCGCAGGAAATCCTTGAGTACTTCAAGGGCATCGCCGAGAAGTACGAACTGTACAAGTTCATCAAGCTTAATCACTATGTCCAGTCGGCCCAGTGGGATGAAGAAGCCGGGATTTGGCACATTAAGATCAAGGACACATCTACTGGGGAGATAGTAGAAGATTGGGGCCACATCTTTATCAATGGGTGTGGAATCTTGAAGTGAGTTACTCCCGTACTCCGTTTGACAGAATACCCTTGCTAAAAACAGCCAACTTCCAGCAACTGGAAATGGCCTGATATACCCGGACTGCATTCTTTCAAAGGTGCCCTTATACACAGTGCGGCCTGGGACGATAGCCATGTCCTCGAGGGCAAACAAGTGGCTGTCCTTGGATGTGGTTCGTCAGGGGTGCAGATTATCCCTACTATTCAACCGAGTGAGTGGCCCCTGTCCTTATCCCGGAGATGCTGTGTATGTGTGGCTAATATCGGGAACTGTAGAGGTCAAGTCTCTGACCACGTTTATTCGCACCCCTACATGGATTACCGCTGGGTTTGCACAAAACCATGCTGGCCCAGGCGGCGCCAATTTTGAGTGTCAGTGATCCCATCAATGATGTATTCGCTGCTTCGAGCGCTGTGCTGACCTCGCCTGTGCGAACACGTAACAGTTAGCGATAAGCAAAAGCAGGAGTTCCGAGAGAATCCTGAGAAGTACATGGAGTACCGGAAATCGATAGAGAGCGAACTGAACCACCGATTCAAGCTCGTAAGCGAATTTCACTTGGATATGGGCAGAGAGGAGTCCAGCAGTTTTAACTGATTTTTTTTGTACATTGACAGGTCATTATGGGAAGTCAAGAACAAGAGGAAGCCCGACTCTTCTCCATCAACGAGATGAAGACCAAGCTGGCGGGCGACGAGCGCCTGATGAAAGCCATGATTCCGGATTTCGGCGTCGCCTGTCGTCGTCCCACCCCGGGCAACGGATACTTGGAGGCGTTGACTGCCGACAACGTCCGCGTCGTCACGGACCATATCGAGTCGATCATCCCTGAAGGGATCAAGTTGACGACGGGCGAAGTCATCAAGGTCGACGTCTTCATCTGCGCCACCGGGTTCGACATTTCGTTCTTCCCACGCTTCAAAGTCACCGGCAGGGGAGGCAAGGTCCTCTCCGAGCAATGGGCACGCAAACCAGAGGCGTACTTTTCTGTCGCTACGGAAAACTTCCCCAACTATTTCAGTACGTCCGTCCCCTTTCCTCCCCTCCAACAGAGGGTGAATCATTGAACGATGGATATCATGATCTACTGACACGAAACTCCCTAAGTGTTTCTCGGCCCCAACTCGCCCGTCGGCCACGGCTCCGTCCTCCCCATCATCGAGCACAACACCAAATACTTTATCAACTTCATGAAGAAGATCCAGACGCAGAACATCAAGTCCGTCAGCCCCAAGCCCGACGCCATCCGCGACTTCAACGAGCACATCACCGAGTTCATGAAGCGCACCGCCTGGGCGACCCCCTGCCGCAGCTGGTTCAAGAACGGCACCGTCGACGGGCCCATCGTCGCGCTGCACCCCGGCGGCCGCATCCACTGGTTCCATATGCTCGAGGACATCCGGTACGAGGACTGGGACTACACGTATGTGACCAAGAATAGGTATCAGTACCTGGGCAACGGGTTCTCGACCAAGGAGCTGCCCGGGAAGGACAATGCGTGGTACTTTGACGACCCGGAACAGGGGTATAGAGAGTATTAGATGAATGCGTGAGATAGATAGATAACGGTGTCGACGCGTTAGATTTGTATGTCATGACGTGATTCTACGGTGACTATGGATTATCTGTACTGGATGATTCTCGTTCTCATTCTCTCTCTCCCTTTGAAATAGTAAAATTGCTCTCCACGTTCGTATAGGTTGGACTTTTTTCAGGTTGGGCCACAGTGCTCTGCGGTCTCAAGTATGTACAACAATATTCCCTTCCTTTTCTTGCAGACTCAAGAGGGTCGTGGATATTCCAATATCCAACTGATCTCAGTCCCCGGTTCGACATGTACCCGTGCTCAGAGCAAACTTTTTCTCCACTTCTCTCAGGCTCCCACCATACCTACCGCGTGCAGAATAGCTCGGTTAGCGTTTGTCCGTGTCGGAAGAATCAAAATACTCCCGGTCGGGAAAGTGCTTGCTCACCTCCGTTAGGCGCCAGGGTCGTCGCCGTGACGAAGCTGGCTCGCCCGCTCGTGATCCAGACCAGAGCCTCGGCGATTTCCTCGGGCAATCCTTGCCTCTTCATGGCCATCTCGCGCACCATCTCGTCGAGATTCGTGTCGTCCTCCTCGGGCACCTCGCCCAGCATGGGCGTCTTGATCACGCCGGGACAGATGGCGTTGACCCGGATGCCGTCCCGGGCGAAATGGAGGCCGTCGGCCTTTGTGAAGCCGATCACGGCGTGCTTGCTCGCGCAGTAGGCGGGCAGGTTGTCGTAGACGCGCAGCCCGGCCATGGACGCCACGTTGGCGATGGAGCCACGGGCGGGGAACGTCGTGTCGGACGCGCGCAGGGGCTCCTGCTTCAGCATCTGCGTGATCTCGGCCCGCTGGCACAGCCACATCCCCCGCGTGTTGACCGAGAACTGCTTGTCCCACTGGCTGACGGAGTACTCGGTCGTGACGCCGGGGAGGAGGATCCCCGCCACGTTGCACGCGTAGTCGACCCGGCCGAAGCGGTCGACCGTCGATTTGATCAGGGATGTCACCGACGACTCGGACGTGACGTCTGTCCGGACAGCGTTAGCGTTCAATGGCAGAGTTGAGTAGATGGATTCATAGTGGCGGTTTGGTTTTTTGTAAATCGAAATGGTTTGCCGCAAGGAGATTCGGAGGCTGGAGGAGACAGATGGTGTACTACTGACCGGTCGGTATATCAATGACCTCGACGCCTTTATGTTCGGCCTCGAGCTCCTCTCGAGTCTTTTTCAGCGCCGCCGCCTGGACATCGGCAATGGCTATCCTGCGACATCCTTCCTTTGCAAAGAGTCTGGCCGTGGCACGACCGATTCCTTGCATTCCCAAAAGATTAGTTCAGCCCAATTCAACCAGCACAACCATAACCCGCGATGGTTTGGGGAATCATGAGACCAGGCGGTTTGCTCGTACCTGAAGCTGCCCCAGTAACGAGTGCCACGCCGGGGAAATGCATTTCGTAACTAAGTGGGTGGCAGAGCCGTATACGTTGGGAAGGGTAGGTGTTGCGGGTTTGATATACAAAGTCTCTGTCTATAATATGACGCAAGGGAGTATGATTTAATGGAAGAGAGCGAAAGAGGGTGGTTGTGTATCACTAACATCTAGTCAACGAAGGACTCTAACTATCTAGTGTACTACCCCTCACACGACGCGACGTACTCGGTACACGCTTGTCTGTTTGTTGTGTCCACCAAGCGTCCATCGGTGCTGAGTCGACCAGGGACCCAAGTTTCGAGACAACGCGGGGACCCCGGTGCGTTTGTTCACGGCTTGTTCATAACCGGGGCGGCAGGGCGGGTTTTGTTGCCGCTCCCGCTTTTGTCGCTGATATGTACTGTTGGCTGGGGTTTAGAGGTACGAGTGAACTCAAGGACCGAGGGCCAAGGGGGTAGTGGTGGGGAGGTACGAGGTGCCGTGTTATCTCTTCGGGAACCGGCACAGTTTTCCGTCTTGTACATACAGCCAACGATGCCACCCAACCAACTAACCAACCGTACACGGGACCCTGGTTGATCGAGCTACCTACTCGTATCAACAAAATTCGTTGGTATCCAAAGAGTAACTCTAGAATATCACCATGAGGCCTTCGCCTGGCTGACGGACGCTACATGGGGAATAGGTCATTACTTGATGATAACCGACATACTCAGCTCCGGAAACGACTCGGCAAACGCGGGCTTCAGAGACCAATTCTCCAGCTTGTGCAGGTGCATCTTGAACGCGTGGCTCAGGTGCACGGCTCCCGTCGCGTCGTCCTGCCGTACGTACGTCGCGGCCGGGTCGTACGGCCAGTTGACGTTGAGACAGCTGCAGAAGGACGGGGTGAAGACGTTGAACGGGTACGCGTGGTGGTCGAGCGTGAGTTTCTCGCGCAGTTGCGGCCAGGGGAGCGTGTCGATGAAGATCGGGTGCGTGACTCGACATTGCGACGGGCGAGGGTGGAACCAGGGAGGGAGGGCCTTGTAGTTCTCTTCGCTGGGGGAGATTCGGTACTGTGTTCAGGGATTAGTGATCAAAATGGACTTGAAAGGGCTTGACACAGCGTAGGTCTGTATAGAGAGAGGTATATAGTGTTGGGCAATGCAGCAAGTGAAGAGAGAACGGTGACTGTAGTTCTGGTCCGAATACATGGCTCGACATAGGAGAACCGTGCTCACCTTCAAATGGACATAATTCAGCCAGAATATCGCCAGCTTCTCGGGCAACTTGAAGTTCCACTGGCTGATGGGCGGTGTTAGAAACAAAGTCAGCGAGTCCGCCGTAGCTAGACTGCTGCTGTAGTGACCTCCCAGCAAAATCTGCACGTCCGGGTCATGGGCCGCGCGCAGCGCAGGGTCGTCGTCGAGCCGGGCCTGGTGCTCACTGATACATTTGAACAGTTTGCCATCCCAGATATTGCTGGGCGGGCAGTTCTGCGGTATCGGGACCAGTCTCTCTGCCGTCATCTCGGGGGCGATATTGTTGGCCAACCATAACTGCGGGTCCGGGGACAGATAGAAGTTGTTGTTGTTGAGTGCAGGGAGTTCGTCTGTGCCTTTTCTCTATCAGTTCTAGGCAGCAATAGGAAACAAGATCTCTCTCTGAGAAGGACACTCACCCAGGTCTAGCTGGCCTGCATAGGTCTGTCCCTGGTGCAGCACAAGTTGGTTTCCGAAGAAAGGAAGCCCCCTGGGATGGTCGCTGTCGTTGGCTGTCATGCCATGTATGCTCATCTGGAAAGCGGTCAGATAAAATACCTCTCGTAATATGGCTGGGATAAGTCCCGACTTGCCTCGAAATCCCCGGCAGACGTGTCGAGGAAACAATTGCCAAAGTCATTGTTGGCGTCGACCATGATCTCTATTGTGTCTCCACTGTTCACGCTGGGCGGGTCTATGAGGGCTTCACAGCCTTGACTAGGTTGATCGAGGTGATGAAGCTCGTTGTTGGCTAGGTGGTGGGTATTATCTATATGGTGGTTTTCCTGGGTAACCTCTTTCTCGTGACCGGGGAGACCATGATTTGGATTCGGTTGTGATGTCGTGCAGTATTCCGGGGGTGGATCGTCGTCCGTCTGCTCCTTTTCCGACTGTATCTCGCGAGGCTGGTTGTTGGAAGGCAGCCGCCGTTTCTTCCTCGCCGGGCCATCTACGGCGTCATTGTTGTTATTATTGCTGCTGCTGTTGTTGTTGTTGTCCTGACTGGTCGCGACGTCTATGATACTCTGTACCTTGGCCTCGAGCATCCGAACCCGCCGTTGAAGTTCCTCGTTTTCCCTCACGAGGTCTGCCACGCACGTATCGGACTCTAACCGGGCGAGCTTCTCCTCCAAACTGGCAATATACTTCTTGGTGCGTTCACGCACATTGCGCTGTGACTCGCGGTCCTGGATCCGTTTCCGCTCAAGCTGTGCCCTGGTGCGTCGGGGTGGTCCTTTGCGCCTCGTATCGTTGTTTGCTGCGAGATTGTTGGTAGGTTGGCGAGGAGACGAAGCCTGTCCGTCTGCTGACGATTGATCTAATGCTGGAGACATGATTCTGACTCGGACTCATCCATAAAAGCTGCTGAACTGAGTGGACTAAGTTGTGATGAACTGAACTGTTGATTCGGAGAGACAGACCAGACCATACAAGAAAATACGGGACGGGAACATGGGCCGAGAAGGTCTAGTCGTCACCAACGAGGGTGAACTGGAAACCCCCCTTCTGGCTTATCAGATCCCGCGAAACTCTTAGGGTCATGCTGGGGTGACGGAAAAGCCAACCGTCTATCTAACCATGCATGGTCAAGGGCCTCCGGGGCCCCGCGTTGTCCAGGACCGTGGAACAAGGAGGATAATGGGCCCCCAATGCATAAAATTTTCCAATGCTTCCGCACTTTCTAACTACCCAAGATGGTTCCAGGCAACTAATTAGTTGTCTTTGGGTCCTTATCGGCATCGGGTTGTGCAAAGTATCTCGGTACACAGAAGTTGGATTCCGTCCACACCATCCCTCACCCGTGTCCTAGAGCCTTGACTTTTCCCCTCTAGAACACGTAGCTGGACAGAGCTAGCAAAAGCCTCCTTGTCCGCATTGAGCACCACACTATTACTTACTTCACTAACCTTCTCTTCACGTTCAGTGTGCGAACAAAGATGCATCCCACAAGTTGCGTGCTATTACGAAGCCTCTATACCCCCATTTGTTTACCAACAACACTAGGCATGCTTGGGTGCTTCGATCTGAGCAATGTCGACTTCCATCTCAGCCTTTTCGTCCTCTGCCTGGTTTGTGAGGTGGATCGCCACATCGTCGCCAAAGATCTCGCCTACTTCTTCGAGGGACAGGCCCTTGGTCTACAACAACAAAAGTTAGCACTTGAGACGAGCAGCTGATAGGAGAGTAGCGTACCTCGGGGAAGAAAAAGTAAATGATGGGGATGTTGATAGTCGTCAGGACGATGAAGACGATATAGTATTTCCAACCGATTTCGGCAAAGGCCGTGGGCGCGGCTTCGAGGTAGGGGATTGTGGTCAGGAACAAAGTCCCCACAGACCACGCCATGCCTCGCGGTCGAATATGTGTCGGGAAGATCTCGGAGCAGTAGATAAAGCTGTTGGCATCAATGCAGCATCCGTAGCTGTGGCGGTCGTGTTAGCCCATCGACAAAGTCACCCTGTGATTCGCAATCCACGATATCAACTTACAAGGTCAGATGCAAAAATATAAAGAAGAGCGCCGCACTCAGCCCTCCATGGCTATCGGTGCCCGAGTAGTAGCGCAACAAGATGGATTCAGCGATCAGTGAAACCAGCATCCCACTGAGGCCGGTGAGGAAGAGGAACCTTCGGCCGGTTCGGTCAACCAAGATCGAGTTGACGTAGTTTCCGAGGGCCCCAATTGTGACATAGATGCCAGACAGAAGAAGAGGCATATGCCCCGTCTGTCCAAGGCCCTGGTAGATCATGACGCTGTAGTCTGTCGACTTGGTCAACCACATGTTTTGTCTGTGAGAGCCAGCGAAACTTACTGTAGATGACGAGGATGCCTGAAGATTCATTGCTGAAGAAGGTAAAGAAGCCGCAGAGCATCCTCTTGCGGTAACTGGGTTTGCGCCACAGATCCCAAATGGTCTCGTGGCTGAAGAACTCCCGGTCGTGGTCGACCTGCCGGCACATTTGGTAGAATTCCTTGCGGGCGTAGACCTCTTCCGGATCCGATGGATTGTAATGAAGCTTCGCAACGATTTTCCAGGCTTCGTCCCGGCGGTCTTTGAGGAGCACTGCGTAACCCGAGTCAGAGATCGTTCTCACGAGGGTAAAAAAGGGAGCCAACGTACGCCACCGTGGAGACTCGGGAATCCAAGGCGCAACGGCAAGGGTCAGCAAGGGCCAGAGGCAAGCCACCGCCAGAGGGAATCGCCATTGGAAGTTTTCATTCTGGGAGAAGTAACAGCCGTAGCCGACCCAACCGGCAATCATATAGCCTCCCACGAGAACGACACCTGGGATTTGTGTAAGTACGTGAGAGCTCCAGCATATCTTGCGACTTACCATGCTGCCCGACCAAGAACCCCCGACTGGCAGGAGGAGATATCTCTGCTTGCATGATTGGGATCAAGGTGACCAAGTTTCCTGAGACAGAGCCAAGTCAGTCAGATGTCCCATCTCTTGTCTCTCATCTCTCATCAAGTACCACTCACCGACTCCGTACCCAGTCAACCACCGTGCAAACAGAAACATGCCTATCGCCGCCGAACCCGCCTGCAACGCGGAGCCTACAATCGAAATAATCGTGGCAATATACAAGGCCTGCTTCCGACCACGGGCGTCGCACATCCAGCCCATGGTCCAGCAGCCCATGAAGGCACCAGCGGAGAAGAGGCCGCTGGTGGCACCCAGGATGCGATTGGTGTAGGCATAGTTGGGCTCGGTCGGCGCAGCTGCCAGGCCAAAGTATTTGAAGAACCCGGGCTATATTTGCGGCCGTGTTACCATGGATGAACCCTGAGGAATGAGGATTGAACAAACTGACCTGGCCAAGGGTTGTCGAGATAATGCTGAAGCAGTACCCATATGACAACGACCCTAGACAAAGGGCGAAGACGATCTGTTCGAGAAAAGGTCAGTTCACCGGTGTCCTGGGTAAGACGACTGTGTACGTACAGAGAGGTTGTACCACGAATAAAATCCCTGTTCCTTCGCCATGGTTGTTGAAAAGTTTGCTTCATGACAAGGAGGTAAACAAGAATTTCCTTGCAGTATCTTTATAGCACGACGTTGTGCAGGGAACAGGTTGGGCTCGGGTCACCAAAGGAATCGACCGGTCTCGTCCATACTGTCCAGAAAGCCATCACGGCTGCGCTTCCGACATTCCGATCCTACAATTCCGTGGCACGACGAATCGCGTGGCTGACCCAGGTATTTCGTACACTGTCTTATGACATACACTTTGTATCTAACCGGGAAGAGTAAAGCGGGTTGGGGTCCAGAGTGGACGTATCTTTGGGGAGATGGTGGCATCAGAACTTATCAAAGCGCTTGCTCGGGTCTATTATGTGGGCTACTCCAGCCTTGGTCTATTCTCCGCCGAAATCAAAGCTACAAGCTCGCTTCGAACAGTCGCTCCAGTTGCTCTCTCTGGGGCTCCATGTCTTCTTCGAGGTTGGGGGCGAGGTTCAATACCCGTTTCTGCGGCAGCGTCCCCTCCACAAGGCCCGGGATGTTCTCTCTGCTGAAGCCGAGATCTCTCAGACCTCTCGGCTGATCCCCCAGCTTGGCCAGAAAATTTGCCAGAGCCTCGCCGAGGATTTCCCCAGCGCTCTCCCTCTTCGCGGTGCTGATGTCCACGCCAAACGCCTCGGCGGCAGCAAGATGTCGCTCCGGGTTGGACGCAGCTGTGAACTTGAATACGCTGGGGGAAGTGACTGCGACACTGACTCCGTGAGGGATCAGTGGCTTGTCGGCATTATAGCCCTTGTGCCTATACCCAGGGTTTTGACTCGAGATGGGATAGCTCATGCCATGGCACAGATGAACGCCTGCGTTCCCAAACCCGACACCGGCCAGAGTAGCCGCAAGCAACATCTTATTCTGCGCGTCACTATCTTCGGGGTCTCTTACTGCCCGCGGAAGGTATTTGATCGTGTCTTTTAGAGCTTGGAAGGAGAAGACGTCTGAAATGGGGTTTGCGCCCTGGTAAGCTGGCCGAAGGATAGGATTCGACGGGCGAGGGGTCCGTTGGTTATAGGGTATTGCGGTCCAAGACTCCAAGGAGTGGCAGAGGACGTCGAGCCCAGACGCAGCGTGGACCGCTGAAGGCATCGTCCTCGTGTTTAATGGGTCACAAATACCCAAGGTCGGTTTGAGAGCACGAGAAGCTACACCAGTCTTTGCTCGGTGTGAGGTCAGATCGAAGATGGCGGTGCCAGTTGTTTCCGACCCTGTGCCCGCCGTCGTCGGTATCGCGATCAGTGGCAGAAGCTTCCGAGCCACGGGAAGTCCACGGCCGAGAGGTGCATTGACAAAGTCGAGAAGCTCTGCCTCGGGATAACAGGTGTAGAGATTCATCATCTTGGCCGTGTCGATGACACTTCCACCACCGACAGCGATGAAAGCATCAGGCCGGTAATTTCTCGAGAACTGGATGGCTTCGAGAATCCTAGATGTATAGACAAATGGTCAGACATACAAAAATGGTATTCCAGGAATGGAGTGTGTGGACGAGTAGAGCCTTACGAATGTTCTTTCGGCTCCACCACCACCTTGTTAAACACCGTATAGCTCAAAGCCTCTCGGTCTAACGACTGGTGCACCTGCTGCATGGCATGCAGGCCTTGGATGTTAGTGTCGGTGACGACGCAGACGCGCTTCGACCCCAGGTTCTTGACGTCCATGCCCACTTCGGCGGTGCATCCGGGCCCGAACCGGATGCTCGAAGCTGCCATCTCGAAGGCATATTCCTTTTCGGCCGGGAGTTCTGCCACTTTGGCTAGATGCTTGGCTGCAGCATGGAAGGGCTGGCCATGATGGACTCCGGGGTTGGAATGGCAGCGACAGTTTGGGGGGTGGTGGAATTGGACCGTCCGAAGGAGATCGAGGGCTCGAGAGGCTGCGGACGCCGGGACACGAGTGATGATGCCCATCTTCCCTTCTTCCTTGGGCAGTGAGCTACTGGTGCTGTTCCGACTGGGCGAGTAACTCACATGTGCTCGGCTTGCTTGGTCGTTTTTTATTTGCCGGATGCCTCAATATGTAGTAGTGGCAGGCCATGAGCGGCGTCCGCCTCCACGGAAACATCCCAGTCTCGTTAGTGGGCTCCTTTCACCGCACGGGACGATGATCCGACACCTTGGATCGATATGCAATCGGCAAAGCACGGCCTTGTAGGTCAGATTGGCGCCGTCTTGGATAGAGTTGGCCCGGCATAAAGGGAACCGGTCCGCTTCAGAGATTGGGACTCGATGAGTGCGGATCGAGGTGTTTGCACTACCCGCTACACATTTGGGGGTAACTCATCCGAGCTAGAAACAAGTCGTATCTCACTCTCAATT